TATATATGCAGGGTACAGGCAAAATTTTATTTCTGATAAAATGCGGTCTACAAGATTCCCTACCATCTAATTTGTAATCTATTCAAAAGAAATCAAACCACTTCCACTAATAATAATATGAAACCAGAGTCAACAACACTGCCAAAAACAAAAACGGAAAATAGCTTTCATACATCTAGTAGCGATAGTGACAATTGAATTGGTATGTAGCTGTCAGTTTGTGAATTTTCTGAATTAAATTAATACTAATTGTGTGTTGTTATTCTGTTCTGAAACTCGTACTCGTCTGAATCTCTGAGAGATTGTTCGCGATAATTTACATTTTCGACTTCCCATTCATCTCTCATGTTGCGATTTTTGCTAGAAAAACAAATCCACCATGCGAATCGAAAGTAAAAAAGGACCCGTCCCGAATTCAAATGAAAATGCGGCAAGCGCTTTCCTGGAAGTTCCAAAGTAATTTGTTAGCGCCCTATCTGATTCTTTCTTCTACCAGAGAATTTATGTTAGCTTTCTTTTCTTCTGAGAATGCGTCGGAGTGATTGAATTCCTAAAGAAAATTCAGTTATTCGAATGGAATGCGGAAATTGAGTTGATACACAAAGTCAAAAATAGGAATGTGAGAGTTTCCACTTCAAGGATAATGTTGTTGGGCCATCGTAAAGCCTTTTCTTCATGTATTTACAACTGCCTTGATAGAAAATATTGTACCTATTCTGTTCATTATCTGAATTCTTGTGTGTTTTATTCATTTCAAGAATTGTTTCATTAATTTTGTGGTCTAATAATAAGTAAATGATGTTGAGTTTCCATTCATCATGTCATTGTACTGAAAGAAAAGTAATTGTCGGCCTATTTTCTGTCAAAAGCTGCGGAAAAATCATCAGTTTCGAGACGGATACTGTCATAAACAATGAAGAAAATAAGCAAGAGCTCAAAGATACAGTCGAAATAGACTTGGTCACCATTAAGAAATGGTTTCACTATGACTTACTATCCATGGACTTTAAAAAATCACTTTTCCTGCCGTTCTCAATCTTGGAATCAACAATACAGTTTTCACAGCACACAATACAAAACGGGTTTGAAATAGTCTAAGTCTCGCAGAAAAATATCTAATCATTAGCAGATAGGCATTATAAGTGGGATATGCATATAGACTCCCTGTTGAAAGAGTTGCCTTATGTCCAGTATGATTTCATACAATAAATTGATGAATAAACTAACAATGATTCATCACATTCGCCAATATATACCATTTAGTAGAAAACATAAGGAACCAAACCACGCCACATAATTCAATTTCAGTTCCATTCGATGTAAAGAGTATGTTCTCCAACATACCGTACAACGAGTGTAAACCTCTCATTTTAGACATATTAGATCAAGCCAAAGTAGACCATATCACTTCCTTTGAAGTTTCAACAGCTTTCGATGTGTGCCTGAATCAGGGCTACCTACAGTTCAACAACAAATTCTATAAACAGGATTCAGGTTTACCAATGGACTCACCCCTTAGTCCACTTTTAGCAGACATATTTATGAACAACTTCGAGACCACTATAGTAAACTCCGCCCTGGGTAAAAACATATTCAGTTTTAGGTACAGATATGTAGACGATATTCTTGCCTGTTTCAGTGGTACTACACGATAGCTGAACCAATTTATGACATTCATGAACAATCTCAATAGCAACATTCAGTTCACATTCGAAACAGAGATAGAGAAACAGATAAATTCCTTAGACCTGGCCATTACACAAAATCAGAATAAATTTGAGTTCAATGTTTTCAGAAAACCTAGCTATACAGATACCACCATACCAAGCGATTATTTCCATCCAGACAGTCATAAATTAGCAGCCTTCAACTCTATGTTGCACAGAGCATTCGCACTGCCTTTGTCTGCAGACAATCTAGCTGAGGAAATTGATACAATTACACAGATAGGTCATAATATTGGTTTCAACGCAGATACTATCCAGAAGTTAGTCAGGAAACAAAGCCGGAAATTCACTCACAGATTAATATATCCTCAGGTCAAACAAACAGAAATCAAGAAATGGTAACGCTAACATATTTTGGAAAAAGACCAGAAATTATAGCAGGTTTCTTCAGAAAAAACAATGTAGCATTCAGACCACATGCCAGGTTATCTCATTTCCCTTTCAATGCCAAAGATAAGGTCGACAAATTGGAAAAATCTGGAGTTTATAAGCTTAAGTGTCCGGAGTGTAATAGTGTTCATGTGAGAC